GAGAGAGAGAGAGAGAGAGAGAGAGAGAGAGAGAGAGAGAGAATGAATCGTGTCTTGGAACTCGAACAATATATCTGAGATTAGTCGGAATTTATAGCTCTACTTTTGTTACAGATCTGCTGCTTATGATAAAAGAAATTACTTTTATGACGTACATTAATTGTTTTGTATTTCATATTGTTTGAATATTTATGACGTTTCGTTATTGGAGTATTCAGAAAATGTGAATTATGGATAATGAACAATACCTTTTCTATTGTTCATATTTTGTTTCTTTTTCACTAAATTGTGGAATTTGTAATAAAATTGGCAAATTAATGTCGACATAAAAGATAGAAAAAATTATATAGAAGCTTTATTTGGCGATGATAATTACCCAAAAAGTGGCGAGCGAACGACCTTCTGAATCGCTCAAGGTAAAGCCGAGAGCAAACGTGTGGGGTTGACAGAGGCTTGGTGGTGCCTGACGGAGATTTAATGCTCGCAGTGGTAATCTCATCGGAGTACCTTCGACCCATAGCCAGCCCATTCTGATGGAAACCGTTCTTCTTTCGCCCAGATCTTCCACATACAGCTCGCCTGAAATCCAAATTGCAAAAACGCACGTAAGTAACAATTCGCTATTCAATAACAATTGAATCAATTAGTTCGTAGTGATTAAATCTCGATGCCGTTTAGAAATTCTCCGACGATGAACTTTCAGTTTCATCGCGTTTAATAGCGCACGCCATAAATGGTAGTGGCGCTATTAATATTCGAGCCGCAGTTTCAATATTAAATCAGGGGAGAATCGATGATTCACGCGTTTATATCACGAATGTCCGTAATGAGCGATGGAAGAAATTTCGCATTACGAATCGGTAATTGCGTTACAGTATGATTTTTCAGAAATATCTACACGAAGAGAGCGGCTTTGATAAAGTATCTAGCCATTTAGCTAGATATACATCTGAAAGTAATTTTGTTGGACTATTTAAATAATTATGTAGGACGCTTAAGCTGGTTATTAGAATGTCAAAACTTTTCGTAGCATTTCCAAACAATGCTTGAGTTTCCTAAATATAAAATAAGTAAATAATACAAAATAAGAAGGGCTATATGAGTCAATGTTATTATTAAATTGACAACTGAACATAAAAATCTTATAAAGCATAATAAATAAAAAAAAATATAAAATAACAGACGTTTCGACACTTATTGTGTCATTTTAATGTTAACAAAAGAATTTTTAACGGTCGAAAGAATTACATATAATAATGTGTATATAACTTATCGCAAATCGTAGTTCGATGTGTTGCAATATAGAGTACAAAATATTATTTTTCCTGGATACCAAGGCAGTACAATTTCCATAATGTTAATCTTATAATAGTTGAACTAAAAGAAAATAAAACTTAATAAATCCATAATTTGAAATCTAAACAAGCAATTAATAACAACATCAAATATAAGTAACGTATAAGATTGTTAAAAAATAAAATTATTAACTAGAAATTTAATTATTTTGGTGAATTAATATGTGAAAGATTTAAATTGTAATATAAATCTGAGTTTTATCAATATGTAAAACGTATATACATTAAAATTGTCTGCTATGTCGTATTAAGTGTTGTCTGTCTTAACTTTCAAACAATTATAATTTGAGACAAAGTAACTACGCCTGTTTATTTTATATTTTTTTTATTATTTATTAGGTTTTAAGATTTTTATATTTAGTTGTCCTTCAATTTAATAATAAGTGATTTAATAATAACATTGGCTAGCCCTTTTTATTCTGTATTATTTAATTTATTATTTTGAGCCATTCAATATAATGTTTTTTATAAAATAAGTATTTTGATGATCTAACAAAGTTATTTTCTAATCAATCTTTATTTTTAGATACGCTAACATAAAACTGTTCTTTCTCTATAAAAGTTTAACTAGAATCTGAAAATTATTCTATTGATTATCAAAATAATTACGGAGGACAAGCGTGATAAACGACATATTAAAAAGTTTTGACATTTTAAAAACTGTTTACAATATTGCAATAATCATCATGCTAGAGTGTTTTACATTCTAACAACCAGATCGAACATACTGTATATAATTATTTTTATAAGCCAACGAAGTTTTCTTTTTATAGTAGAAGCGTAGAAAAATAAAAGCCGCCGTACCTTATCGATGACAATTGTTTATCAAGCTAACAAATATTTCTTTTAAATAATATTATTCATAGGACGCATATATTTAAAGACTACGAGTATAATATAATCGACCGAATGCCTGGAATTCTTCTGATTAATAATAATAAATAGCAACCAAAATCGCGCGTTTCGCGGTAAATCAATCACGCGCGAAATTGATTCTTACAATTCCTTAGCTCGCGATTTCACGTTGTCTCAAATTAGCCGATAGCTTTCGACGTAATCGACGCCCTACGTCATTTCATGCCAGACCGACAGGTATATTTCATCATCCGATTCAGCGACTGCTCCGTAAAAGGTGTACGTTCCAAACGCTCGTTACGATCATTATTTACGATGTAAACTTATTTTCCACTATAATATAAAAAAAAAAGAAAGAAAGAATTTACGGAGGAGGTCGATGATAAGGGCAACGAATCGAGAGATTGACGTCATCCGATAAACGTGGGCGATGAGCGTGGTATCTTTGGCACTTTATGGTTATTTCTCGCTCGTCTTGAATCTAAATGATTATCGACCGAAAACAGCATTAAATACCGCCTACGTTTCTCAACGTGACACTCAGCCGACTATTTTCGCCAGAGTCTGGGACGGAAATAGATCCTGCTGTGACGTCTTCCTGCGGTGCGGTGGCTGAATACTTGTCACCCTCATTTAATCTCACGTCTGCGAAACATTCCGAACCCGCCGCCTGCTGTCATAATGATAGCAATTTGCAACCTTCATTGGCAAATGGAAACATTTTCCTATTCTCGTCGGTGATATTAAATTGCGGAAAAATTGCTCTTTCAACAATCTATTTATTCTAACACATTAAGTAATAATTAAACCTATTTATTCTATATAAAAGGCTGTAATTTCTGGAATCGATGATTAACTGCCATTATTTTGCCGCCATAAAAAAATTCAGTGATTTCTGAACATTTCGTTGTACGTGGGGTGCTTGCCAGCAAGAGGCATATAGTGTAACATAGCGATCATTTCATGTTTGTTTAACAATGACAACAACGAGGATAACGATTCATAATGTGTCTCTCGCTAGAAAGTATTTATAAATTCGAAAGCGTTTTTAATTTGAAATATAGAATGCAAGTGAATTTCTACTTTGCGATGATTAATAGAAAAAGATAAAAGATAAAAGGGTTTATATATATATATATATATACATACACTTTAGAAGCTTTATACGCATAACGTGTGTATTACATTACATATTATAATTTTCCACTCAATAATGTAACTATTACGTACAACATATGTTATATTATGTTTATATTTTTGAATAGGAAATTGTAATATTGATGTAAAATTATTACTAGTTTATGTTCTGTGAAGATTATACAATCATTCAAAAATTGTTGCTTTAAATGTCGAGATTAAATATTTTCAAAAGATGAGATTCGTTAAGCATCTCCATTAGGCGTTTTCCAAAAGTTATGATAACGATTTTTGAAGAACATTCGTGAGCTTTAAGAAAAAATACGCACCATCGGAAGAACACAATCGATAAGATGTCTGGAATTTTTCTGGTTGACAGCATAAAATAGTCGGTGTTTACACTGTGCTTTAAGATTCTTTACCTGCATTTTTCTTCGTGGATAGACATGAACGTCATTAGACATGACTACAAATAAAATAACGACTTACGACACACCCTTCGTCCGGAAATATTCTTTCGTTAGGACGAAAATGACTCGCCCAAACAATCTCGTCGATTAACCCTTTGTTCCCCATCAAGTGTTAGGTAACCCCACTCGTTTCGCTTTCTTGCGTTGTCGCTATTATTACGACAGACGACAATGGACAGTCTAATTCTAATTAGTTTCAAACAACTTGAGGAAAATTAGTCTCAACAATTACCATAGGTGCAAGAGGGTCGTCGGACTCATTTGTCGTAATAGCAGCAAATGATGCGCATTCAGCTTGAAATATACTCACAAATTTGTGCAATATTTGTACGACCTCGGTCATGATATATGATAATCCATAAAAGCTAGCAAAATTTCGTAATGTTCTACGTTCTGCATCGGACAGCTAGAAAACAGCGTTATTTATGAATCCCATATCTCTTGAATGCTGAATAAAATTATATGCGGTACATCATTGAGAAAGTGCCGCTGTTTTCACGAGACAAAATTTACATCAAGATTATAATTATTGTGTTAGTAAAATGATTTAACGATACAATAATGTCGCAATTGCTAGAATTTGTGGAGCGATGTAACTAGCGGGACTATTTTCTCATTTTCTGATTCCGTCAATAAACGAAGAATAGATCGAAACGATTTTCAAATTAGTCTTGTATAATATTTCATATTAATCATGTAATATTGTACATAAACCATTCCAACAATATTGCAGCTGCATTGCAATTTTCTATCAATATTGCATAAATATCTCTTAATATTTCTCTATTAACAATCACGAGAATTGTCTTTATAATTTTCGTAAAAGGAGTATCGTACAGCATAAAATTTTACAATGCAAACGTTGCAGCAATGTTACTGTAAGCTTGTACAGATAATAAAATCGCGCGTTTTTACAAAAATTATGAAACTAATTCATGCAATTCATAATAAATAAATAGAAGGTGTATATATACTAGAAATCATATTTTATATTTTCCATTGCAACCTTTTTATCATCAGAGTTTTCAGTTCCAATCGACTTTCGTTTAATCTGAGATTATCTTTGAAAACTATGAAGCAAAGATAAATGGAGTCAAAATGGAGTCAAATTATGTCTGATTTTGCGGATTGTACAAATGTTACAAATGATGTAGTATTTTCTCTAACCGTGTAATGATTTTCACGCCAGTCATAATGAGTCACCATAAATTCATGGTCATTCCATTTGTCTATGCCGACAAAGCTCTCAATGCGTGAGATTTTTCCACGAACGCGTTACGAAGTACTGACTCATCAGCAAACTCCTTCGCAAAATGGACTCTTCAATTTTTTTTTTTGAAAGCAGCGAAGCGCATCGATTGCGTCAACAATTATATCATTTAAAAATGTTAATCGTTGTAATTGCGGAAGAAGTCATAAAGTTTCTACTAAAACTCGCGCGATGTTCGATAATCAAAACGAGGTTTCGAAAGACACATAATTAATTCGACTCGAAATTTTCTAATATGCGAGTGTTTAACGAACACAATCAACAAACAACACATGTTTCATCAGTTTATGTCAGTGTCGGAACATCTGTTTAGATTTCCTCTCCATAAATCTTTTGTTTTCTGGTTGAAAAAGTACATTCTTGAGAAGCTGTCGAGCTGAACACCCTTGAGAGTCGAAGACTATCCGAAAGAAGATAGTCCGATGTCTGCTCTCACGGTCCATTAAGCTTCAGAAAGCGAGCGTGTCGCCTTCATACGTGTGAATGAGCCAT